GCAAAGTATATTCAACTTGTTGGTCGTATGGAAGAGAAATACGCCAAGGATTTTGTTGAACTCCCGAGGGTTGTATTTTGTGGAAATCAATCGGCTGGCAAGAGCAGTTTATTGGAAGCAATTGCTAATGTTCAGGTAAGTAACTTTATGGACATATACATATGTTATCGTGCATGCATTTGTTACAAAAACTACTCTTAGATTACCTCGCCGATTATTATTCTATTTATTGATACTACGTATATACTCATATGTAATATTCTCTCTTAGCTTCCAAGATCGCATGAAACGTGCACTCGATGTGTAATGGAGATTCGTATGAACGAGACATCAAAAACTAGTAATTGGGAGTGCAACATCTCCTTGCGTAAAGAATACGATAAGAACAATAAACCGCTTCCAGAGACAGACAGGAAAACTTATCCGTTTGGCGAGACTTTACACAATCCGAAAGACGTTGAATTGATGGCATATCGTGCTCAAAAAGCACTCTTAAACCCAAGCGAAAAGCCTGACCTCTATCTTAATCACCAACGGCCTGACGAACCAAAAAAAGAAAAAAACGAGATTAAGTTTTCCATGAATATCGTGTGTTTACACATTACGGGACCAAACGTTCCTAATTTAAGTTTGGTCGATTTGCCGGGAATTATCGGTAAGTTACGCCGAGCGTGAAGCATGTACCGAGTATTGAAGTAAAAGTTCTAACATAATTTATCTACTGTTAAATAGAACACATGATAAACGTACCACCAGCTGTTTCACGGCAACTTGTTGCTACGATAAAAAGCCTCACTACGGAATATGTGGAAAAACCCAAATCTATAATTGTCGCTACCATTCCTTGCGATTCAGAGGATGAACATCAAGGTATTCACAACATAATAAACGAAGTCGACCCGGAGAAAAGTCGTACGGTATTTGTCCTAACCAAACCAGACCGCATTCAAGACAAAACGCATGGACGATGGGTACAGAAACTTGAAAATTTATCAGGACCGGACTATTTCGTAGTTATGAATCCGAATCAGGCAAAATTAATCAATGGAGTGACGTTTACGCAGGCTAGAGAGGAAGAAGA